ATGGGAACTCTTTGTCCTGGGCCATAATTTATTCAGCTCATAAAATGAAAGCAGGAATTCACAAACTGCAGCAAATTCCAAACTCTTTTTATTCCTTGTTTTATTTTACAAAGAGTGTGTGTGTGTGTGTGTGTGTGTGTGTGTGTGTGTGTGTTTTGTAGTAGAATATAATGCAACCAAATGAAGAGCTAAAGCAAGTGGAATCTTCAAGAATTAAGTGGGAATGATTCATTCTCTCATGTGAAAGCTTTTGAAATAGAAATGTCAAATAGATTCACTACATACAAGTCCTGAAGCTTAGGGTCAATACCAAGTGAAATGTAAAAATAGTCAAGTGTGGGTCTAGGGAACAGAGACTCATTAGTTTACTTTCAAGGAAAAACCTTTTGGATTAGGGCTGATTTTTGTGAGAGTGGAATTTTAAAATAGTTCATCTCCTTCAACCACAACTCAGATCAAATCTTAATGAGATAGATTCTTGGCGTTATTTTTTTTTCTTTTTCTTCTCTTCTTTTCTTTCTTTTCCTTCCCTTCCTTCCTTCAGTGCTTTCTTTTTAACCAAGAATGACTCACATTTCATTTGATACACAACCAGTTATTGTGATGGAACATCTTATTTATTTTTCTTCATGCATGAGATGAAGAGAGGAGGTGGTATGGGTGAGGTGACCCTACACTAGATAAAGGAATCTATGACCTAACCTTCCCCCTATCTCCCCGACTCAATACTGGCATGATTGAAGCTCAGCACGATGATACCCCGAGAGATTCCTTTCCCCAAGGAAGAAAGAGGAGGCAGAACAAAAAAGTAAGGAGGAACCAGCTCTGCCCCCTGGGCCTGTGAGAGAGGTGACAAATATATTTCCCAGCTGATTATTATTATTATTTTTTAATTTTTATGAATGTTTAATCTGAAGCTTTTAAAATACAATATCTTAAAATAAATTTATAATTTTATCCAGAATTTCTACCGTGCTTTTTAAGTTCAGAAGGGTCTTCCTTCCCTTTCCAGAGATCAAAAAGATAGTCTATTTTCTTCTACTGCTTTGTGGTGTAAACAAAAAATAAAATTCTAAGCCCCTCCAATGACTGGATGGACCCCTCCTCTTGTCCAAGGGGATTTCAAAGAAACCTAAAAAACTAGATCAGGCCATGATGGGAAGGGGATATCAGACCTGCCTCATCACACTCTCCTCTGTTTGGAATTCAGGCCCAACTGGCCAGCATTAACATTAAAATCGATCTTAAGACTAACAAAACAGCCTCTCTGTAGCAGTGAGATACCAAACCACACTCTAGTATAGCATCACATGACAGAGAGAAGGCCCTGAAAGAAACAGAGTATTTCACTCCAAAATATATTTCTTTGACCTATTTTGAAATGGTCCTGTATAGCCATCTCTTGCGGGGAAAATTCACATTCTGTAGAGAATTCCATTCCATTTCTAGGACTTTTCCTGATCCAGGAGAGATTTAAGAGTCTGGTACCTTTTAAGATTGGATAAGAGACATTTACCATCTATTCTCATACTAACTGGAGGCTTCATCTACAGAGAACCTTTGTTTACACAACCCCCCTTATCTTAAACCCAAGCACTTCTTTCTGCTGACTTCAAATCTTTAGGGAAAACTTAACTCTTTCAACTAAATGCCAGTCAGGAAACCTTTGAATCCACCTATGACCTGGAAGCACTGCCCTGCCCTCCTCACCCACCCTTCATTTCAAGATGTCCCACATATCCAGGCCAAACCACTGTAAACCTTACATGTATGGATTTATGTTTTTGCCTGTAACTTCTATCTCCCTAAAATGTATAAAATTCAACTGTAACTCAGCAACCTTGGGCACAGGTTCTCGGGACCTCCTGACGCTGTGTTGTGATCTTCACATTTGGTTCAGAATAAATCTCTTCAACTACTTTTCAGAGTTTGGCTTTCTTCGTCAACAATGGTTTGAGTTTTTTACGTGCTTGAGTATGGTGGTTAAGAATGCAGACTACCAACATTTGATTACTGGGCTACAATACATAGCAGCCATGCTGACTTGATTAATCTCTTTCTTTCTTTCTTTTTTTTTTTTTGAGACAGAGTCTTGCTCTTGTTGTCCAAGCTGGAGTGCAGTGGCATGATCTCAGCTCACTGCAGCCTCCACCTCCCAGGTTCAAGCCATTCTCCTGTCTCAACTTGCTGAGTAGCTGGGATTACAGGAACTAGCCACCATGTCCAGCTATTTTTATTTTTAGTAGAGACAGGGTTTCACCATGTTGGCCAGGGTGGTCTCAAACTCCTGACCTTGTGATCCACCCACTTTGGCCTCCCTAACTGCTGGGATTACAGGGGTGAGCCATTGCACCTGGCCCTTGATTAATCTTTCAACCTCATCTTCCCTATCTGTAAAGTGGAGATAACTATAGCACCAACTATCACAATTACATAAAGTAATTTTTTTTTTTTTTTTTTTTAAGATGGAGCTTTGCTCCATTGCCCAGCCTGGAGTGCAGTGGTCTAATTTTGGCTCACTACAACCTCTGCCTCCCGGGTTCAAGCAATTCTTGTGCCTTAGCAGGACTACAGGTGCCTACCACCATGCATGGCTAATTTTTGTATTGTTTGTAGAGATGCGGGTTTCACCTGTTGGCCAGCCTAGTTTTGAACTCCTGACCTCAAGTGATTCACTTGCCTTGGTCTCCCAAAGTGCTGGGATTACAGGCATGAGCCACCTCACCCAGCCCTAAACTAATTTTTGTAAAGTATTTTTAATAGGGCCTGACAGTAATATTCAATAAGCGGTAATCATTATAAATATTGATATGTAGCATAAGACTTTAACATGCTTTTTCCCTTAGATTGCTAAATAGGATTATTTATTAATACATCTTTCCTTCATCCATTATATTCAAAGTGATTTCAGCCTATATTACTAATACATGCTTGTGTATTCCAGCACCTGAGTCAAGTTTTCCCACTGATTTGTCAGTGTGTTAATGGGTTTGCATTACGTTGTTTAAAACACTGTAGCTCTATGGCATTTAAAATGATCATATAGGTCACTGCATTCTAGCTTGGGTGACAGAAACAAAAAGAAAAATAATATAGGAAGAACGTGTGTAGGACACATTTTTTTTTCTCAAAATGTCATGATTATTTCTCATTTCTTCTCTCTACATGAATTTTAGAATTATAATTAAAAAATTTAATTAGATATTATAATGAAAATACATGGTTACATCTCTGAAAGAAATGTTAACTTGATGATATGCAGCTTGATGAATACAGGAAAAATTTTACTTTTATTAGCAATGTAATAGATGCAATTGAATGACTTTAATTTTTTAGATAATATAACACTTTGAATGAAAGAAGAAATGATGTTGGGATACTGGGAGTGGGAACATCAGAATGAGAATTTATTAGTGAATCAAATTCACATCATAAGCGTTTATTCAACTTTTTAGAGAAATGGGCTAAGGTACTATGATCTATTTAGTCAGGTGGAGATTATATAGTGGCCACCTACTGTTTGTGTTTTTATGCATCAGCCTTTAACATCTGATATGATCTAGAAGTAACCCAGGGAGACCCTAGATTTTCTTACAAACCACTGAAGAGTCTTAGTAATCGGTGATGAAATTATTTCTAATCTTTGTGTTTACCATTGTAATGGGAATATTTTTGTCAACAGTATGATTACAGTTTAAATTGCTAATGAAATTATGTTTTGTATTTTATTTTTAATAATACTAAACAGTTTTATTTCGTGTTTCACAGTTATATTTATTTATTTATTTATTCCCGGGCTCAGGTGATCCTCCCACCTCAGCCTCCTAAATAGCTGGGACTATAGGCATGCATCACCATGCCCAGCTATTTTTTTTTTTTTTTGTATTTTTGGTAGAGACAGGGTTTTACTATATTACCCAGGCTGGTTTCAAACCCCTGGGATCAAGAAAGTAGTTCACCTTGGCTTCCCAAAGTGCTGGGATTACTAGGTGTGAGCCACTGTGTCCAGCTGCCATAAATTTATATCAAGGATACCATTCTAATTACTGACTGAATGCACATTTTTATGTTTTAACAGTAACAGTTTTGGTCCTAACAATAATGTAAGTGTAAACTAACAGAATATCTGTAAACACTTTAATGTTCTTTAGGAGAGTGGGCCTTTTATTTCTATAATTATGAGACTCTGGTTCCCTCATAAAGTGATTGTCAGAGAATGAGTTAGAATGGAAACCTCTTCTAAATTGTATATAGGCCAGTTAAATAGGCCATTATACACTAGTAGTGTGAGATTATATTAAAAAGAGCACCACAGAATGTGTTATAAAGTTTGTAATTTCATTGTCTATAATTGATGCTATGAAAACCAGAAGGTAAAGAAAATACCATTTAGAAGTTCACAGAATTCAGAAGGGCTTCTGTAGAGAACTCTTAATGATCATGTGTGCAGATTCTGGAAGGACTTCAGGATATTTGATGGGTGTTTCAGAAACGGATAAAGGGATGCTTCTGGTTTTGTTCTCTTTTTAAAACTTATGAAACATTTCAGGGATTCAAAAAGACAGGGAGAAGAAACATAGCAATATGGTCACTTACCACTCACTCAAGTCATTTAACATTACAGATATAATTGAACAGTATCATCATTTTTTTAATGATAAATTTACCAGGTGAAATTCAGGATTTGCATATCCTTGAATCTCCTTTTCACAAAGTTAATTCCATCTAATATGTTAATTTTTCCTTTGTTGCCAAAAGGGTGTTAAATGGGTATTATTGATAAAATGCTCTAGTTACATAATTGCCTGATCCAAAGATGGCTAATAATCAGCAAATGTGGAAGGCAATTTTAAACAGTAAAAACAAAATGGTTAAAATGTTTTAATTCACTTGAAGCTAATTAACAACTGTCCTGGGCACCAATTCTCTTGACCTCTCCTCTTTTTGAGAAAAATGCTTTTCTAAGCCTAGCAAAGAGCAAAGGGAAAGAACCACATTACCTGTCAACACTAAGAGCGCAGAGGTTGAGGACGGTGATCCCCACTGAGGACTTCTGCAAAAAGGGGAACAGCTTGCAAAGAAATACGCCAAATTCATTTTGATCAAAAGGCCAGCGCCCAGCCAGCAGCTGAAAGAAGGAGACACAGTGGTAAGAAATGGTAGAGTTGGCATGGAGCATGTGGGCACTTACATTTCTAGTTATGCGTCCCAACTTCTAAATTTTAGTCACTGTGCTTTTCAGTTAGCAGTGTAGCAAAAGAGTATTACTATTGTTATTATTTTCTTTCACATTTTAAGGCCTTAGCAATTTTTAGTCTGGAAAGATATAGAGAATATATTATAATTATTAATATATAGCAACACGAATATATTATGATATATATTTAATATATAATACATACTTAATGTATATTAAATATAGTTATATAATACAATTTAATAACAGAAGAGATGTTCCTTTGATCTCACATCAGCTAGTCATGCTGCCTACTTTTCAAATAGTAGCAAAAGTTTGGGGTTCTGGGAGACAGCTCAACTGAGAAGCAGGCAATGGTTTTGTATCTATGCTTACTAACATGAGTAAAGCAAATCATTTCAACACTGGCATTGGCAGATTATATTATCTCCTGACAAGCAGCCAAAACTATGAATGAAAGGTGAGGAAGAATTTTGGAAAAAAACAAAGTGGTGGAGAAGCTACTAATTTTGGCAGCTGGCTAATACCTAAAGCCACTTTGAACTTACCTTATCCTCTGTGCTTAAGGGGCTGACTCTGCTTCAGTAGATGTGATGTAAGTGGTTTTTCCCTATTTAGGCTCAAACGGTCCCCTTACTACACAGACAAATGTGGTTACCTTTATCTGTTTGTAGCATTTGCAGAAAAATCTGTTCTTCCATGTTGACATTTTCCAATCTTGTTTGCAAGGCAAGAGTGGACACCCTCTAGTGGCTGTGATGGGTAGCAAACACATGACAATAGCTACCAGTACTCTGTATTTGTCTAATTAAGTATTATACTAGGAGCATGGGCTTAAATAATAGCTCAGCTACTAAAAGGGGGAAGAAAGTTCCTGCTGAACATATGATGCCTTTTCAAGTGTAAAATGGTATTGATTTCCTTTTTAATTTTTTGTTTAGTGACTCAATTTAAACTTAACTCACTAGGAAACAGTATCCTACTAACTTGACAAACATGCCTTTTTCTCTTCTTTTGAAAAATTCTTTTTTTTTTGCCATAGTAACTCTAAGATAAACTTTGAATTTCTGTTCTACTATTTCCAAAAGATGATGTGAGGATTAATTTCATGGTCAGTATGGTCCATAACACGAGTCCATTGAAAGAGATTGGGAAACCAGTACCCTGTAGATAAGGAATCAGAACCTATGCTTTTTGAGAACTTGGTTACACAGCGCAATCTCTCATTCTGTTATTTTGGCTAAGACCCTAAAGGACTTACTTACAGAAGTTTTTTCTCTTTAGTTTTCAAGCTTAGTTCCCTTTCTTCTAAATAGTTTTCGAAAAGAACCTTTTTCTTCAATCCAATTGTGCCTCTGGTTTCTTCTTCATCTCACTATAAATAGTCTCGATTGGTGTCCTCTTAAAATTTCCTCATAAACTTTTGTCCAAGGACAATCACACAACTCTTCGTACAAACACTGCATTCATTTCTTCTGGTTTTCATGAAGCTGACAAATAATTATGCCATTGCTGACTGCTGGTTATTAATGCTTTGTGCAAGTAAAGACATAAAACACTATTTCTGGGATGAATCACCCTATCAAAACAAGAAAACCTGAAAACTACTTTTTATAGAATAAGAATGTAGAATTCTGGCCCAGAATTATAATTCTTCAAAGACCACAGATATGTAATTAAAACAGTATAGGCACTGTGACGGGATATGCTCTGGAACAGTTGAATTGTTTGTTTGTTCATTCCCGGAGATTAAGAGGACCCTGATATCCACATGAATGGATTTCCCAATTCACACATCTAACAATGAGAGAAAACAAAAAGATGTTCTTGCTTAATAAGGGAGACTGTGAAATCCTGCAAAGGTCTAAGTGGCGAGTACTAAGAAAATGATCCAGAAAAACCACAACTGAACATGGATTCTCTCAGATTCTTCCCCTGTCAATTACATTCTTTCCTTTTACATGCTTCCTTAAACTTTTAATTAGGATTAGGTTAGGCATAAAGAAGGACAGAAAAGAAAGACATCATGGAATCAGTGGGCAGCAAAAAGATCATGGAATTGTCTTTCTTTGAGACAAATAGGGGTGTTGTTTGTGGTGGTGTTTTTCTTTTTCCTAGGAGTAAGCATTGATTCTTCTTGGGAGTTATAGATAAAGGGGCAGGAAAAAAATCATTGGAGAATGCTATCAGGTGTAATCACTGTGTAGACTTCCTTAACTTGTAACTCCTTCATTCTGAAAGGATATATGGGTAGTAAGTATCCAGTGCTGCTAGGAGGAAATTAGGCTCCTGCCTCTAGGCAATGTCCCCCTTTTTTCCTTTTCCACTCTGGTTCCATGTGGCTTCCTCAAAGAGGCCCTCATTAACTGTCTAACCTCAAGTAGAACCTGCTTGTTAATCTCTTCCATGGAAATAGTGTTAGAGCAGTTCTACATTCAAAGGTTCCTTTCAGCTCGCTCTGTTGTAGTAAAAGCAGGAGGCCTCAAGGAGGCAAACGGTGGAGCTCACTTCGTTTTCTCTTATTTAGCAGAAGCACTTTGGAGCTTCTGAAGGACTACTGGGAATGCATCCTGTTATTTACTTGCACTTAAAATTAAAAATATACATAAGATGGTAAAAATGAAGCTGTATAAAAGCTTATGTAATGAAAAGTTAAGTCTTCTTTCCAATGAAGGCCCCCAAACTCCCTGCCCAAAGGCAACCACTGTTAATTGCTAAGTGTGTTTTCTTCAGGAAAACATGCTACATACATAGAAGCATATGCCTTTAAAAAAAAGAAAAAAAAAAAAAGAAAAAATAAGTGGGAACATATGGAAATAATCTTTTAGTAATCTGTTATGATCTTTTTTTTCCTGGAGTAGTTTTCTGGAGAGCAATTCTATTGCTCAATTAAAAGGTTTTGGTTTTTAAAAGCATGTTAATAAAATAGACTAGAAGAGGAATAAATAGGTAACTGTTTAGAAGAATACATGCTAGACCATGGCAAAAAAAACTCACTAATTTCATTAATGTTAACACGCTCCTGTCAGTAAAAAAAAAAAAAAAAGAGTCCGACAAACTGACAAGTCGCATTGGTTCAAAGGGTTAATCGGACACCTCAGGTCAGTCATAGCTTATTTTTGCTACAAAAGAGTGTATGTACTTTCATGTTTATAATTTGCCACTCTCGTATTTATAATTTCCAAGGACATTACACAGTACCTGGCACATAGTAGGTGTTGGATGAATCAGTGACCCCAACTCATTAAATCAAGGCAATATTTTCATAGTTTGAAATGAGATAGTACCAATTTTGCCCTGAAAACACATTCATCTTGTAATTTATTTTCTATCTGAAAGTTGTTTATCAGTGTCTCAAAGTAGTGTTCCCAGTCTTTATGTTGAAAGAAGCCTGCCATTGAGTTGTTTGAGGTAGTGGGAAAATTCTGTGCTATTTAAGAGTCTAGGCTGAGAGAGGCTGCCACTCACTCTTTGCTTGGAGATACCTCACTTTGGGCTGTGATGAGACTACCCACCTTCCTAAGAGCTGCAGGGCAGGCCCTTGGATGTGAGGTACATCCCGTGGTCTAAATGCACATCATGTTCTTCTGTTCTCAAGTAGATCATGGAAGAACACCACAGAAAGAATCACGGAGACACAGGAGGCAATCTGCTGAGCAAGGATTTTACATGCCTTTGTTCTGTCTCTGCAGATTTTTCTATAGTTGAAATAGAGTTAAAGCCCCTGATCCCCACCTGAAAATGAAAGCACTTCTAAATAGCACAGATTATTACAGAAATTTTGCCTTTGTGTGGCTGATTTGGATTGTATAAAAATCAACATCATAAAATTGACAGGCTGCACTTTTTAACCCGTCAAAAACAGATTTAGGTAAGAACTTGTACCATATGATACACTGATATGCACCCTGTTTTTAGAATGGATAGAGCCAAATGCAGGATGTACATTCATCACTATAGTTAGTGCAATACAAGATCTCACTTGGTTGGGACCTCTTAAATATGGGGAATATACCTGTTTACATCAGTTTTCTGGAATATACCCGACAACCAGAAAGTAAACAAAAATGTAAGGAGCCAAGTAATTGTGAAATTTATGCCCTAAAACTCATGTGCTTTAGACCTCAGTAAACTGCCTGAGTCTTCACCACAGGGGGATTTATTCTCACTTTACACCCATTGCTGTAAAGCTTAGCTCTTACTCTGCTCTAGCCCATTGTACATCCACAGCTATTCATTAATAGAGACTCTCCAGAGGCATAGTTCTCAGTGTTGCCTGTATATTATAATTATTTTGGGAGCTCTTAAATATCCTAGTTCCTTGGCCATCACCCTAGGCCAGTGCTTATCAACCAGGGAGCAATTTTGCCTGTTTCAGCTGGGGGTGGATATGCTTTCAGCATGTAGGGGTAGAGGTTTGGGATGCTGCAAGACATTCTGCAATGTACAGGCCAAACCACCCCTGCCGCAACAAATAATCATCCCACCCAAAATGTCACTGGCGCTGAGGTTAGAAAACTGTGTCCTACTCCAATGAAATAAGAATCTTTGGAGTTGGGACATAGGCATTAGTAGTCTTTTAAGGCCCCCCAGGAGATTCCCAAGGACAGCCAAAGTTGGGAGTCATTGCTGTGGAGAAGCGGCTCTCAAGACTTAGCAGCTGCAGAATCACCTGGAGGGCTCACAGATGGCTGGGCCCCATCCCCAGAGTTTCTGATTCAGTAGGTCTGGGGCAGGGCCTGAGAAGTTGCATTTCTAGCAAGTTCTCAGGTGATGCTAATGCCACTGGTTCACTAGCCATACTTTGAGGATAACTGCTCTAGAGGCACTATGGTCAGCAAAAATCACAGCTGACAGCCAGGTGGAACAGGAGGAGCACAAAAAGGTACAAAATATAGTCATAGAACATAAAAAATCTAGGGCCAGTCATG